GTGCACACCTTTAATTCCAGCACTCAGGGATACTGAGGCAGGCAGATCTCTTTGAGTTTGAGGCCAGCCTGATCTACAGAGTGAGTTCTTGGTCTACAGAGTAGCCAGGACTACACAGAGAAATCTTGTCTCAATAAATAAATAAATGAATGAATGAATGAATGAATGAATGAATGAATGCACCAGAAAACCAGCAACAACACAGATGTGGCTCTGAGACTCCACTGGGTACTGAGCATGCCACTAGGGAATGTCAAGTTCCTTAAAGGTCCTCCTGGCCTGTAGTTCCCAGGCTGTTCCTTCTTACCCTTGGCTGGCATACAGCTGTCCCCCAGAAACCAATAGTTAAGGATATACTTTGAAAATTTGGCCTATGTACCTCATTACTATGTGTCTTCAGGAAGTCCTTCAACCTCCCTGAGTCTTAATTTTCTCCCATAAATGGGGATCCTTAGAAAGGTTGTTCACATGACTGTCATTGGGCACTTCCTGCTCTTAGGGCCACAGCTTTTCAAGGAGCAAAACAGATCATAGTAGCCTTCTCCTGTGGGACAGGAGGGTCACCCAGGCAAATGCCAAGCAGAAAGCTGGCAGAGGTTAATGGGGCCATGTGAGTGGTGGCCCCTCTGGAGGGCTGAGGCCGTGGGGCATCCACGCGTACCCCCCAACGGGCCAGATTGAGCTGTGAGGGGCAGACCCGGGGCCAAGAGGTGTCTGCCAGTGCCCTGTGGCCACTCCCTCAGGCCATCACCATCGAGGCTGAGCCAAGAGCTGATGGAAGCCGCCGGACTACACGCTATGACATCGACATGACCAAGTGCATCTACTGCGGTTTCTGCCAGGAGGCCTGCCCTGTGGATGCCATCGTGGAGGTGAGTGAGCCCGGGCCAGGCGGCTAATGAGGAGGCTCCTGGGAAGGGTTTGCCTGCTGACCATCCGTGCCCGCTCTTGCAGGGCCCCAACTTTGAGTTCTCCACGGAGACGCACGAGGAATTGCTGTACAACAAGGAGAAGCTCCTCAACAACGGTGACAAGTGGGAGGCGGAGATCGCCGCCAACATCCAGGCTGACTACCTGTACCGGTGACCCGGCCACCTGGCCCAGCCTGGTGATCCCTAGAGCCCATAAAGAAACTATGATCCCACAACTGCCTGCTGTGTCCTTCCATTCCCGCCCCCCTCAGCCGGGGCCCTCTGGCTTCCTCTGCAGACCAGGTGTGCACGGAGCTCTGACCTCGTTCCCTCATGGGTTCCAGCTGCCCACTTGCCCACAAGACCTAGCAGAGCCAGAGTGCAGCCATCCTCTGTGGTGCCCAGGCCCACCACATATCTTCTGGACTTCTTTCCACAGCCTGGCAGTGTAGGTCACCAGGGGCCTGTTGTCCAAGTGGTGTTGGGTGTCTGAGCTGTCTTCTCCAACCTCCATCGTTACAGTTGTTTAGACGTGAAGCCTTCCCAGGCTCCAGGCCAGAATCAGGTGCCCCAGGAGGAGGCTGGGCAGAAGGCTCAGTGAGTAAAGTGTTCCTATCTCGAGGATGCACGGAAAAGCCCAGTGCGGCCACATGTCTGTTACCCGCCGCTGGGGCCGGAGACAGGTGGATCGCAGAGGCCCCACGGGCCAGCCAGTCTCACCAAAGAGGCAAGTTTGAAGTTCAGTGAGAGCCCATCCCCAAGACTAAGGCGGTAGGCAGCTAAGGAAAGCAGGGAGAGTACCTGCACATGCTTGCACACAATGCCTCAGGAAGGCCAGGCCGTTCTTTGGGGAACAGGAAGCTAAGGGCTGACAGTCACAAGGGAATGACAGAGGGCCTGCTGCCTGTGAGCTGGCCTTGCTCCCCTTTCCCCATGAAGTTCCCCATTGTGGCTGCCGTGTGGCCATCACTGTAGCCTCCCCGGTAGCAGTCCCACCAGGCTGTGTGGCTGCCGCTCCTCTCCTGAGTGTGGGCATTGTGATATGGCACACTGGGAGTCTGGCTGCTGGCTTGGTTCTCATGGTCTAAGGTGACGCTTCCATCTCAGGAACCATGACAGCCTTCTGGCCCTGTCTGTTCCCCTGCCCTGAAGAGCCTTATGCCCTCTGTGAACTCTGTGGGGGTCCTTCTCACACCAAGTCAGGTTGGACCTGTGACACCTATTTTCTGAGGATGCCCACCTCGGCTGACTCAGTTTCCTTGTTGCCTTAGGCTTCCATTCTACACTCCACACACACACACACCAAGGCCCTTGTTTGCGGAATGGGGTCCAAGGATCAGCAGAGCTGGGGGCCCCTTGTCCGTGTGGTTTCCAGTGGGTACAGCCCAGCCTGTCCAAAGTACAGACAGCTGAATAGTCCTGAATCCCAGTTTCCAGACACTGGGACCTCCAGGGCTAGAAGGGAGGGGCCGGGTGCTCCTGGAGAGTCTACAGGCTGCTGGGAGGCAAGTTCCTCAGCAGACTGGCCTGACCAACACCCTGCCGCCAGTGGAGAGGGACCCAAAGAGTGAGACCGCCCTCACCCAGCCTTCCTGGGCCAGTTAGCCTGAGCTGCGTGAGATCTTGGACAATAGCGCAGCAGCCTGCACGTACTAGGACCCATCAGGAGGAAAGATGAAGGTGGCCCACCCCCAAAGCCCTATCCGGTACCCCTGTTGTCGGTTATCATCCGATTCAGGGACACCCAGAACCATCTCAGCCGCCTTTCCTCCCTCCCTCCTCGTCCCAAACTCCGCGGGGGCGGGATGGGGCGGAGAGTGGGCGTGTCATCACAGGCCACACCCACGCCCTGCTTGTTGGAGCTGGAGAGAGTTGCACCGGCCGGCGGGAGAGCTCAGATCCTAAGTCCGAACTGAGCGGTGAGCTCATCTGGGTAAGTGTACCGCTAGACTGCGGAGCCTCAGCTCTGCCCACCATCCGCTTCCTCTGCCCGGACAGGGGTCCAGGCGCCCCCGCCCGACTCTGGGTGGAGGCAGCTCAGAGGCCATGCGCCGGTGTCAGGCCGTCTGGGGTGTAGGCAGGCCTCAAGGAGAACTAGGAGCATGGGCTGGTAGCTCCGGGCAACTTCGAAGCCCACCTCACCAGGCCTGAGCTCAGGGAGGCCACTGCTGTGACTGATTCGGAGGGAGGGATCCATTCTACAGATGAGGAAACGGAGGCCATCCAACTAGGAAGTGGCAGGGCTCGGGGCGAATTTCAGTCCCTCTCCTCCGAAGGGAGGGAGCTGGGAGAAGAGGCAAGGGGCCCGAAGGAAGGACCAGGAAAGGAAGTGCAGGAGTGAGGCAGAACTTCAGGGCTTTGCGGGAAGGCCAGAGTACAAGCGGTGTGTGTGGGAATTGCTGTGGTGACCGCAGGAGACTGGACCTGTTAACAGAATCACAGTGAATTGTGTGGACGCTCTGCAGGGGACATGGAGGTACTTTGATTTATCTTGCATCTGGATGGTTCCGGTCCCCGGGCTGGGGCAGCCAGATGCTATTGGTTATGGTGCTGGGACTGGCCAGAGCACGGCAGGTCAGAGCAGTGTTCCTCCGGTCTGGGACAGACCCCTCTCTGGTTTGGTCCCAGCCGCCCATGTGACCTTAGACTTCACCTTACTCAGCCTATAAGATAAGGCTGGGTAGTGGGTGGTGACCAAAGCAGTTAATCCCAGCTTGAGGGAGGCAGAGACAGTGGATCTCTGAGTTCAAGGCCAGCCTGGCCTGCATACTGTTGGAGTTCCAGGAGAGCCAGGGCTGCACTGAGAAAAGCAAACAGACAACAAAGATAAGGCTGGCTTGCAATTGGTGTGGTGGTGTTTATAGAAGTAAAGCCTTTTGTTCACCTCCAAATCCTACCTTTCTTGCCAGGGGTGGCCAAGTCTTACTCAATCAAAGAGGAAATACAGGCCCAGAGAAGGCAAGTGACTTACTCAGTGTCACACAGATGATGACAGTCTGGGCAGGACTCTAGAGACTTGGAGCCTGGTCCTCTGCCCTGTGGCCAGAGCCGTGATACCTTTGGTGATGGCCCCCAGCCCTTCCCTTGCCTGTGCAGGGCCTGGCTCTTCTGAAACCCTGGACTACCCTCTGAATTCTTGCCTTTCCCAGGCTGGGGACAGGACTGTGGTTTCCTCTTAAGAAAACCAGGCCTCAGGAGGAAGTGGCCTGTGGGACGGGCTCAGACAGCAAGCTGGGCCCATTAGCATCTGAAGTCCCCCTCCATGGTGTGCCCTCACTTGTACCCCTCAGCCCCCAACACCAGTTTAAGAGCTAAGGAAACTGTGTCCTGCCAGGACCCTGGATCTAAGAGCAATAGCTGCAGAGTGAGCAGGGGCCAGGGGAGAGTGCTGCCACCTGCGGGGACCACTGGAGTCCACTCTAGTGCCAGGAAGTAACTGTGCCTGCTGCGGTTGCAACAGGGCCAGCCAGGCCTTCCCGCCTGCTGCTTCACAGTTTCACTTTCATTGGTTTCAACACCAAGGACTGTCCCCAGCCCCACAGCCAACCTGCCAAAGGCAACCCCCAGCCAATCCTCCTCCTTAGGCCTTCAGCCCCAGGGACCTGGGGGATGCTCCACCCCCACCCCTCTGCAAGGCGTAGAGGTGGTACAGTGTGGTAAAACAGCGGGCAGAGCTGGTGTGTCTGGCAGCTGCTGGGCTAGAATGGGGCACAAAGGCATGAAAGGCTAGTGTAGAGACAGCCTGTGGAAGGCTGTGGGGTCATTGCCCTGCCTTACATTGTCATGCTGTTGACTTCCTGTCAACCTCAGTACCCATTACCCCTTTCTGAGCCTCAGTTTCCCCATCTATTCAGTGAATGAATGCCTGCCTGGACCTGAGCTCCTGACCAACCATTTTTTGTCTGCCCCAAGGATCATGGGCTCCATGTTCCGGAGTGAAGAGGTGGCTTTGGTCCAGCTCCTGCTGCCCACAGCATCTGCCTACACCTGCGTGAGCCAGCTGGGCGAGCTGGGCCTTGTGGAGTTCAGAGATGTAAGTGAGTGGGGTGGGACCGAGCCCCGGGTAGGTAACCACATCCCCCTGTGCTGAGCACCGTCGCCCTGCCGGAGCATCCCAGCTCTCCCTTCCAGCATGAGTGCTCTTCCCATGCCTCCTCGTGCCCTCCCTGGCATGGGGTTGAGTCTGCTCCCGCTAGTCACCTCCAGATTAATTGGGCACCCAGCAACATGTTGGAAAGAGGTGCCTCAGGCCTAGACCCCAGAGCAGTGACCTCCTGGTCCCCACCCAGAGATCTAGCCCCTCTGTGTACCCACCACAGCTCAACGCCTCTGTGAGTGCCTTCCAGAGACGCTTTGTGGTAGATGTCCGACGCTGCGAGGAACTGGAGAAGACCTTCAGTAAGTTGGACCCATTCCAGGCTGGCTTCCCGGAAGGAGCGCTGGGCAAGCTTGGTCTAAAAGGAAGTGCCCGTTAGCCAGGTGGAAGGCAGAGCTGCTGGATCTGCAGGATGTCTTGGGCTCTGGGCTGGTGGGGCGGAGGACCTAAGGCAGGGCTGGCTTGGACTGTGATCCACAACTCAGAACTCAGGGTTAGGTCCCATGGATGCCAGGGAACAAGAGGCAGGGGCTGGTGCGGGCAGGGGCTGAGGTCCAGGGCTAGTAAGCCCCTTCTTAGGCCAGAGATGAAGGCAGAACAGGGGAAGCAGAGCTCCTGGGACAGTACTTTAGCTTGGGATTTTCCCGGAGCTCTGACTAAGTGGATTAGTAATGGCTTTTGACGTGCGTTTGGGTTTGGGATCTCCCTATGTGTCTGCAGCCCTTGGCTAACAGACATTAGCTGGCATAGCCCTGGGTGGCTTCCCCTCACCCCCTTCCTGTGTCTAGCCTTCTTGCGGGAAGAAGTAGAGCGGGCCGGCCTGACACTGCCCCCGCCTGAGGGGACCCTGCCGGCACCACCTCCCCGGGATCTGCTGCGCATCCAGGAAGAGACGGACCGCCTGGCCCAGGAGCTTCGGGATGTTCGAGGCAACCAGCAGGCACTGCGGGCCCAGCTGCACCAGCTGCAGCTCCACTCAGCTGTGCTGGGCCAGAGCCACGGGCCCCCGGTCAGTCCCAGCCAACGCAGGGATCGGGCAGGAGACGGATACGCCAAACCAAACCTGGGCCTGGGCTCACAATGTCTCTCTGTGCCCAGATGGCAGCTGCCCACTCTGAGGGACCTTCCTCCGAGAGAACGCCCCTGCTTCCGGCCCCCCGGGGGCCACATGCAGACCTGAAGGTCAAGTGAGTTGGGGCAGTTTGTCTTTTCTTAGCAGCCTTAAGGCACTAGCTAGAAAAGGGTGTGTGTGTGTGTGTGTATGTGTGTGTGTGTGTGTGTGTGTGTGTGTGTGTGTGTGTGTGTGTGT